CCATCCAGCTGAAAAGTATAAAAACGAAGTACAAGAAGTAAAGCCATGTTGTTATGTTGAGGTGTGGAAGACTCAGGTCAACAACTTTGGACATTGCCCGTCAAGCGGGAGACCTAATACTATTATGGACTACTGCACTGTTTTGGAATATTTGGTGAGTTCACATACCTATAGTATTTAAATGACGGAACTAAACACAAAAAGAGGATACAGATGAATAACCATTTTGTATCTGTGTATTGAAAATGGTTAGGATAGATGTGTAGCTATATTCTCTTAAGTCAATGAATAGAGGGATTTGTTCTAATACTGTTTGTTAATAGGATACCATCTCTTCATCTTGTATAACAAAGAACCACCAGGAAGACAGTATGGAATGTGTTGATTATTGGAACTGTCATACCAATTTGATTTGAAACTGTCTCATTGCTATTTATTTCTTAATAAAATTATGGGGGAAGAAAAAAAGCAAAAAAGCTCTGCTCCATGCGTTACAGCCTTCACCTGCAGAAGGGCACCCAGAACTCAGGAGGCAACCAAGGGGCCTTCCCCCTGACAGCGTGGGTGGGGACCTCGCACCTGGGAGAGGCCAGGCGGGGATCAGCGAACCCAGTCCCCACTTGGTTGAGGGACCAAGAGAAATAGAGAGAGCCTTTGTCACTGCCCCCTGGACAGTTCCAGGGTGAGTGGGCGGGGGTGGACAGCATGGGGGCGGGGCATCGGATGAGGGCAGGCCATCCTGTGACGTCACGAGAGGCGGGTCTTATGCAGATAAGACAGCACGGGGCTGCTGGTTGGAGCCCTGGTGTTGAAACCTAATGATTTTCCTGTGACCAGGGAGATAACGTAGGGAGGATTTTGGCAGCTGGGCACCTCTGCTGCGTGGACGGGCTAGGAGGACCTGAGAGTACATGAAGGCAAATGAGCCTGAGTGAAGAGTGAGGCAAGCAGGAGGCTTGGTAGGGGACGGCGCAGCGGTAGTCATACTTACCTGGCAGGGGATGTTCCATGATCACGAAAGTGGTTTTCCCAGGGTGAGGCTTATCCATTGCCCACTGGATGCGCTGACCCCTGCGATTTCCCCACATGCGAGAAATTGGCTTGCTTAATTTGTAGTAGTGGGGGACTGTGTTCGCGCTTTTCTCTGTTTTGTGGTTTAATGTGAGATTAGACTTTAATATTCAGTATTTTTAAATCACCCAGTTGCGTGGAGAGTGTAACTTACATGAACTTTTCCGGTGCCTC